AGGAATCTCCTGATACTTTCTTTCCCTTTCATGAAAGCCTTGATGGCTCACCTAGGAGCACCTTCACAGCTATGCTGGTGGATCTATTTCTAGGCTCCTATGAGTTTGGAGGAAACTTCCTATGAACTTTCCCTCCACCCACCATCTACAGTATCTCCTGGGGCCCCCAAGATAACTTAAGGAGTTTTGGTACTGTTCAGAGTAGGCACAAATCTAATAATCCTAAATGCTCATCTATGATTCTGTCTAGATTCGAGATGGTCTTCTTGCACAAGACCCTGTCCTTGGTAAATACTGTAGCACTGAATCTCCACCCCCACTCCGAACCACTAGTCCTTATGCATGGATTCACTTTCACTCTGATGACTTAGTTACTGATAGAGGCTTCCACATTCTCTATACAACATCTCCTGGTAAGTAAATTCAACATTAAAGGTTGGTCTGTGACATTCTTGAGACAGAGCCTACAACACATGAATGGGTGTAATTAACATTTGCTCTTTAATAATACAGTAATTCTCTTTGATTCACAGCCATTGTACAGTGGCAGCCTAAACTGAAAAAGAGTTACAGTACTTGTTAATATCTCAATTAATATTTCTTTTTCTTAATATAGCAGATCCAAGCTGTGGAGGAAATTATACAGAGAGTGAAGGGGTTATCACATCCCCTTTCTGGCCTAACCCTTATATCAACAGTCAACAATGTATCTACATTATACAACAGCCAGAGGATGAAAAAATATTCCTCAACTTCACCCATATGGAGCTGGAGAGTCATGCTGGTTGTTCAACAAGTTATATTGAGGTGACTTCTCTTAATTAGTTGATAAGAAATATTGATTATACATGTGTACAAAGCCATGCCTAACTTCTGTCCGAAGGGCCACTGCAGAAATAGGTGTTAATCAAAGGACTAAGCATACCAATTTATTAGGGTCCAAAGGTCACAGGAGCTGAAAGAGCAGGACTGGGAATTTGGAGTGAAGCAAAGATAAGAGAGCAAGAAAATCTGTCTAGCTTAACACTAATTCTTAATCATCTGTACATGATTAGGGTGGAATTTGGACCTCTGGTAAATGAATGCATGTCAAATGCAAGAAAAATATAATTAATGCCATAGCCACTATGACATCATTTTCTGAAGTCATGGTGTTATATGGAAGATCTTGTTCTGACATTATAGGAAGTACACCATATAAATAATTATATA